TTACAATGAGTCATAGGGGTTGTACAAGAGTCACCCCAGCCTATTATATTGTCATGTTTCTCCCATAATCCATCATTCCTCTCCCGTTACTTTTTCTCTTCTTCAACGGCGACGACAAGCTTTCCCACCCGATTTTGTTTTTCGAGATGACTTCACCGCTACAGGGGTCTGAGAAAAAATAGCTTGGTGGTGGAAAGATTGGAGACAAAAGAGAAAGCCAAAGCTTAGCAAGTCATGTTTTTTTTTCTTTCCCAAAAGTTTTGAACAAGGACAAGACCTACATATATGTATTTTTACTTCCCTATTTTCATTTTCATGATGATAGAACAAGAGTTTCTTGATCCTTTACCCCCACCCCCCCCCCCCCCCCCTCCCTACAAAAAAAAAAAAAAAAAAAAAAAAAAAAAAAAACTGTCCAAAGTTATACTTTGTTTTTCTTTTCAAAACTCTTTCTCTGTTATTTCTTTTACCGGTACTTTTAAATCCCATCAATTTTTACAGACTTTAAAGACTGGAGTCAACTACTTGTGTGACCTACATGTAAAATATCATTTACACAGATGACTAGGGAGTGTTCCTGCTCTCTCCCTCTCGCTCTCTCTAATGAAAAAAAATATGTCAGTTAATATCCATGCATTGCAAGTTACTTATATGATGTGTGTTCTATTTTTCTTCTCTTTTTTTCTCTCTAATTTTTCACCCTCATGTACTTAGGATCAATGTACATGCCTAATTATTCTTTAATAAATCTTCGAAGTATTTCTAGAAATGATAAATGTTACCATGTTGGAACTTTGGAAGAATGATAAAGTGGCAACCCCATCTATACCGGTTGTCATTTTTTCAAATGGAGTTCATAATTAGACCATTATGCAACTATAGTTACAGGCCGGGCTGTCCACTTTCGTGCATGGCCCACACCTCTGATTGATCAAAGATTCATGAAACTGCCAGGCTTCCAAAGTTATGTAATAACTGCCAGTACATGACTAGAACAGTTTTGAGATTCCAATCAGATTGGTTTCATCCTAGGATTAAAATTGCTGGGTCATGTATCAATTGATGGGATAATTTCGCAAGCCAGTGGTTCAAAATGCCCACACATCATTTGGGTCTTTCATTCCAAATGTGAGATTTACCAAGCATAGAAAGAAAAGAAAAAATTCTTTGTCAAAAAAAATATAAATGGTGCTACACACAGGCTTGCTGCCGCCCCACCCCCCCCCCCCCCCCCCCCCCCCTCCCCCTTCTATCGCTCTCCCCCTTTTCTGTCTTCTTCCCATTCCTTCTTGTTAATCTTATTAACAATACAGATCAAAGTCCTTGATACATCTTTAATAGTAAAACAGCATTTGTAGAAAAATTATTCCAAACTACATGTAGTTACTCTTGAAAGCCTAATTATTCTCTGGGGGCATTGGATCAGCAAAATGCTATCATAAAAAACACTATGAAATTGGTTGAAAAGCAATTATTCTTACAAGTACTATTAAAACTGAGTGGGTCAATGCTAACAGTCCTTAATTAATACAATATTCTTTCTGCCGTACATGGTTGAAATAGTGATATACCAAGTTACAATCGAGCAGACTCTCTCTACTACTTACAAAACTGCACACTTACAAAATACCTACTTAAATTTTCTTCATCGTATCCAAAACTACCAGTATATTTGACAAGTGTCTTTTTTCACAGTGAATCACGGTTTATGCACTCTGTTACAAGTTATGAGATTTGATACATCCCGAGAAATTAACCAGCATGAATCCTTGAACATTAGGTTACCACCAGGGAATGCTGAAAATGAACAGGGCGGGCGAAGCGGGCCAATCGCGTATCTTGTTACTTTGCTTCCCGCCACTTACACCTCTATAATGGATAGTAAGGCAGCGAGCCCAGATTTTTATCGGATTCTGTTTCAGCGTTTGTGAAGACTGAGATAACGCCACGTTATCTACTTAATAACTCGAGAGATGATACGGCACACTTAGATACGGGCTTTCCTTTTTATTACTATTTGTGATATGCAGTATGTGTACCAGAGAGAGAGAGAAGGAAAAAAATTGAGATCGAATAGCAATAAATGGAGTTGAGAGATGTTATCATGTCTTTCCATTATCTGGGTTAATTGTAAAGGACGGACATGTATTGTAACCGTTTCTCATCGAAAGTAGAACAAACATTGCATGTAACAGAATATTTGATAAGCAATAGCCGAGATAGCATTGATTTTATCGTTGACTTGCATGTACAAAAACGTTGCAAGCATAAGAGTGATGGTTTGGGCTTTTGAGTTTCTATTCGGAAAAAAAGAAGACTTATCATGTAAGAAATTCCCCTCTTGTTGAAAGGTATTTGTGTATTTTGTACTATTTCTGAGTATAATAAAATATTGAAACAAACATGCAAACTGATATCTAAAACAACTTTTTACATGTACATGTACAGTACATGGGTGTCCATTTTTTGTTTTAAAAGAATTACACTTTATATAACATTCTCAATCATTTATGAATTTTGATTTAAAATCAAACTGAACATTGCTTCTTGTAAAGTGAGAGTGTAAACAAGAAGATATTGTAAGTTAATCCAACTTTTCTTCAAAACAATAGTTCTAAAATGATGCTTTAAATTTTTTACAATATTTCTTCTTTTTTTTAATTCAAGACCATAAAAATATACATTTGTAATTGCTTTGAAACACAAATTTAACTGTGCATATTGCATTTCAAAAGACAAGTACAGTACATATTGTTCCTTATTTCATTTCACAAGCTTTCAATTAAAAATTGGGTACTTGCATAGATCTTAAACTTCTTTTATTCTTCTTCCTAATTGCACTACTTTTTTTAAACTCTTTTCCGAGGCCGATGAATTAAGACTGACAGCCAATTGGGGAAGGGTTTTCATTTTGTCTTGAAAACCTGACAAATACATTGGCACATCACTGAAATCAAATGACAATTGAATTTTTTTTAATCCAAGTTTTTATATATATATTCTTTGTGTGCCCAGACTATTAACCGTAAATGTAGGCCATACAAAATCTTTCTTCTTTTATTTTGGTAAGTCAGCTTAAGACATTCAATTAAAAAAGAAATTTTGGAAGGGCCTAAAAAAATATATAAAAATTGACACAAAGAAAAAATATGGGGACTTCAGAATTTAGAGTAAAAATTTCAATAAGTTACACAGGCATGTTTATGCTAAACTTGAAAATACTAAATAATGATAATAATTTGAATTAAAATCTTCATAAATAATTAATCAAACCATATTTACAAGTCAATATTAAATCAATGTATAATCTTAATATATGAAGATTTCATTCGAAGTAGGCTTCACAAGTACGATTTTCATTTATCCATTGTTCCATATCAAAGTGATGAGAAATCAAAGTAGATCGACACTAAAGGGCGGTTTGAATACACCTCGAAAAACAGTCACAAGTTTATTGATTGGCGGGTGGATTATAATTGCCTGGCATTGGGAAAGATTTGAAATTCAACAGTTTTTTTCAGAGAAGAGATAACAGTCTATGTGCAATGAACTTGATCTGTTTCAATAACAATTTCTGCAAAATCATGACGTCTAGGGCTAAATAAACACAAGCACAATAGAGAGTGCAGAGACTTAGCAAACACTAAATCCTCCCAACCGTTGAATATATCACTGCACCACAAAGGGCATTGTATTGGATTTGCGAAACCAGGCAGCGAAGCTAGGCACACTACACGGCACGGCCGCTGTTTACTCAGCGCGAACTTGCCGTGCACACCGTAGGCAACAGTTCCCCCTACTCTAGCCCGTTGGCCTTTGGAGCAATGCGGTAATACAGCCGCCGTCCCATATGTTTACCGTCGCATAATGAGCGCCCTTATCTTTTCCGGGTATTTGTCTCCGATCTCGTACGCTATTCAGATTTTCAGATCGCCGTCATAATAGGATTAAAGGCGTCATAAAAACATGATTGTACAACGGGAAAACCAGTTCTTGACAGAGAAATGGGTTTAGTTAACAACTTAAACAGGTATAGAGTCTAAATTATAATTGTAAATCTGTCACATCTCAAAATGGTTTTAAACTCGACGAAATTTAAAAACAAAAAAGATGACAATGATAATTTGTATTTTTGGTTTTGATTCAACTGAAAGTTTAAAACATTTCTAAAGACTTAACATTAACAAGTAATGAAGAATATGTTCTTTAAAGTTGATTCAATCACATCTACCGTATTGGTTTCCAATTTTTGTAATCAAAGAATTGATCTGATTTTTTAGCTATGATATGGCTCTTTTACGGGAGGAAGAGACTGTTGCTTCTTCACGCTGCAAATAATTCTCGCTGCGCTGAGAAAGATAGCAACAGTCGGCGGACTCGATCGGAGATGCACCGAGCGAGATGCAACAAGCCAGACACCAAATATGGAAGAAACTATTCTCTACCAGCTGGCCCGGGTGCACGGCTGGAGAGAAGCGTGTGCCCTTTCAGTACACATACCAAAGGCAAAGCCAACCTCGAGAAGCCTACTGCCAAAACCCCCTACCAAATAGCTGACATGTTTTCTTTTGTGGTCCGAACGAGGATCCAGAGTCTCGCCAACTATGTTGCTACACAATAACCCAGCTCGCATCCACAATACACGGCAGATCTACCGGTCCGGCAATGCAATACAAGCATACATACTTTACCTGCGGAATGGCGGAGCATTGGACCAATATCGCCCTCGAATTACGGCGTTCATCTCACAACATCCCTTGCTTACGCAAGAATATGGAGTATTAGAAACCATCTTCGCAAGTGGGATGAATTTTAATCGCTAAAGCTGAAAGGAAATTGATTTAGAAGTCGACCAAAACAAAATGAACTTCGATACTCGTCCGGAAGTCCTGACTGTCGCAAAAATGACAAAAATGTCAAAGATGCAGGAATTTCAGAAAGACCTCGTTCCCCAAAACCTTGTTAAAGTTGTAATGAAATCTGAAATTAATCAAACTGACCTGATTGCAATTGATGTCTGTGTCCAAGGCACGGGTACTTAATGTGGCGAGTGGAATTCTGGCTGAAAAGATGCTTTTCAGTGAAGATTTTTCGCGTTCCAGCAGACGTTCCGAAAGTATGTGAGGAATGAAGAATGGTATGAGCGCGCTGAAGCTGCTAGATCGAGAGAGACCAGCGCTGCAGGGGGTGGGGCCACGCGGACCAGACAAGGGAAGGAGAATTTACTTGTGATCAGGCGCACCTGCGCAGCCGCCCAGCTCAAAATTCGGGACCAAACTTTTCTTACCCTCTTTGGCCTTTCGGTTGTCTTTTATTTGTCGTATTCTTGACTGCATTTTTGTTCTTCAATCGGCTGCTATTATTCCTCGAAACAATGCTTTCTGCTATCATACATTACATATTACCTTATTTCCTTTCATCCCTATTTTGATACATAATTAACGGCAAATTGTTTAATAGAAGATAGTAATAATACTGGTGTAAATGACTTGCAATTATGTTGTGTTTTTAAAATATGAAGCGTTATCCATTTCAGGATTATGAAAATATGCTTTTATTAATATAAACAATGGGATATTTTGCATATGAGGAAGCATAACTTACACCCCTCTTCTCAATAACTCCCAACATCTCCACACGGCAGTTTGTCGACCTGGGGAGGGGTTAGCACCTGATGTTTACATCCCCCCCCCCCTCCTCCTCCTCCAGCTTCCAACTAATGCTCTCTCTCTCTCTCTCTTCTCTCTTTCTCGCTCTCTCTGTATATATCATATATCCCTCTATCTCTCTCTCTCTCTATCTCTCACTGTCTCTCTTTCTCTCAGTCACTCTCTTCTTTATTTTCGCTGTACTACCGTTGTCTTAATTACTTTACGTAACTGTTTTATACTATTAGACCTTAATTGACATCTTTATTAACCCCTTTCTTATCAAATTATGTTCTCCCTTTCCTCATGCTACAGACTAATGAACTCCAATTAGTTCCGTAGCTGATTGGTCACGGTATTTGCAAATTACATCGTCATCATTCATTGCCGAGGCTTAAATCGTTTCTCCACTGTTATGCTAAACACAAAACAAAGTGAACTCTCATTTAACAAAAATGATAATACGAAGTCAAACGCCTTTCAAAAGGATGAAGGGTAAGAAATCGCGGTTTGCCGGTATTATGCACTTGTTGCTATTGAAAAGTAAATTCTCCCAACCTCAAATGCAAACAATGGCCAACGAGAAATCGATGATCTCATCCTTTCAGACGCGTCCACTCCCGTGCGGGGGTGTTATTTTTGCGTGACCACATAGGGACGGGACACCGTAGCTAAAATAACCCAGACAAGGACTGCCCTGGCTCAAATTGTGTCTGCGGCAGTTAACAAATTCACATTCTACAATTTCCTGTATACCTTTTAGTGATATGAGTAAGCTGGCTGTACTTTCTTTCCCAATGCTTCGGCTGATATGTCTGATTATTTTTCACCGCCTGTTGCAGCGCTCCCCAGCTGCCACCACCGGGGTTTCAAATTGCGCCCGTCCCCGTTCTTTGAAACTTATACACAAAACTTCGAATATTGTCATCATTCATTGTAAATAAATAGAATATTGCTCTCCGCGAGTTGGGGACTTCTGTGCGAAATCGAAAACACATATGTGAAGTTCGCGGATGAAATAAAGGCTTCGATCCCACTTTTCTCATATTCATATTGTTTCGCGGTTTTCGACGAACTTGCAACAAATCAATATTTGCAAGTGTGATGCAAAATAGTGGTGTATTACTCATAATATTATTTTGGTTGCGACATATTTTGCTGGGGTTCGTCATGACTAGATTGTGGCGGCGCGCAAAAGTGAACCAGATTGAAATACCAACTACAAGCATGCATAAAAATATTTCAGTCGGTAAAGAGTTTTTTTTCCAAGTTAGCAGAATGACTGGTGTGATTCTCATCTTTATCGAAAACAAGTCTAGGCATAAGCCTCATTTAATTTTTTTTCTTCTTCTTTTCCCCTCTTCTTCTCCTTCTCTTTTTTCTTATCCTTTAATTTTTCTTATTTTTCTTCTTTTCATAATCTTCTTCTTCTTTCTACTGATTTTCTTCATCATGCTTCGCCTCTTTCCTCTTCGTCTTCTTCTTCACATCTTTCTTCTTTCTTTTTAATAAATGCCTTTTTTTATTGATGGCCCCGTTTTTTGCCTAAAGATTTAGTTTTTGCACAGTTTTATTAATTGGCTTGTCTTTACCTTTTGTTTTAGTACACAACGCAAAAGTAAATATTTTAGTACTGAAAAGTTACTTTCCTTCTCATAATGGTTATGAGAACTAGTCTTGCTATATTTGCTATATTTTTCACCGTAACGGTAACTTACGTGTTTTTTACGGGGGGGGGGGGGGTGGGGGGGGGGCTCTTCGACAAAAATCAATTCACCCCTCCACCACGGAAGCTTTATTGACATTCAAAGATGGTCAGTTGGTCACCTTTATTCGTCGTGTCACGATAATAATTTTTTTTTAAATGCGATATCCCAGTTGCGTAGCAAGGGGACAGAGGGGCATGTACCCGAGTTGAGTGGTGAAAAATAAAAGAAAAAGAAAGAAAAAGGGGGAAAGTGAAAAAGGAGGAGAAAGATTGGGACGAAGCAGAATGAAAGAAGAAAACACCTGGACCCCCTCCAGCACCCTAAAGCCTTGTAAATTCGGTTTTTTTTAAGTTAACACTCTCCCCTTCCTCCAATGGGCGAACTCACTGCGCTATTACTTCTGCTATAAAAGCTTTCAAAAAGCTGCTTCCTGGTTAACGAACTACGTGTATTTTTTTATTCACTTTTTTTTCTTACTTTTAAATAATTATCTAAAGTATAGATTTTGATGATTCATGGAAATACTATCATTTTTTTCATTTTTTTATTAATTTTCCCATATTGCATTTGTAGTCATTGAAGATCACTTTGCAAACAAATATTTGTTTCTATTCTTTCCTCCTCATACTAAAATAAAAACAGCGGGTTTGGCTAAAAGTTTTAAATGTTCTCCGACGCCACATGATGACAATAACTAGAATGATTTGTGATACATAATGTATACATGTATACATATATTTTGTTTGTGGCCTCGAAATACCAAAAACCGCCCTCTACGATAAAATGACAGAAACATATATTTTTCTTCCAAAATCGATCGTTCTCAAGAAAACATGAAATATACAAAACGCACACATGCACAATGGCTACCCAATGACATTTGTGGCTGACGTTACCACCCATAGACACCTCGTTTAAAGGATACGAGAATAATCAATAAACGCTTTTGGAATCTCGTATGGTTGATTTCTCGAAAATCTTTGCGATTGTGTTCAGTAGAGAAAATTGATTGGTTTTGCCATTTTAATAAAAGGACAATTCATTCAAAATATTATTCAGTTTCGGCTATAAATAGCGCCTCTAATGTCCCTTTCGTTTGGGCGGCGATGTTTCAATAATATTTGCCGTATATCAAACTTCAAATTTGTATACGTATACAGGATAGCCGAATTATCCTTCTAATCCCAAAATATTGGCCTTGATGTTGAGAATAAGGTGAAACAACGCGACACACCTTTGAAGTAGTTTGCTATTATTATTATTATTACAGGTATTCATTAATCATGTCATATTAAAATGCATGCTTGTCATTTTATTTTGGCGCCAATATTGCGGCGGAAAAGGAATGACAATTTTGTGATCCATTCTGCGAAAAGTGTCTGAAAATTTCACAAATTCGTTCATACTAAGTTTCGTCATGTTAGGTTTATGTTTGTGGTTGTAAATGCCATGGTGACAAGACAATAGAGACAGACAATACATAAACGTCAACGCCCTTGACTTACGGTATTAACTCTCACATGGGGATTGGGGTTCAGGTAAAATAAAGGTAACATAATTTAGGAAATATATCAACAATGTCTTTTGTTATGCAAATACAAATATCATGTACACTTGTATAATTACTTTTGTATCCTTTTAAAAATGTAGTTTGTAACCTGTTTGTTGTACATAATTTGTATTTTCTTGTTGAATATGGAATGAAAACTTGAAACTTGCATGGAAAGGTAAAATATATCCCCCCCCCCCCCAAAAAAAAAAAAAAAAATTACTTGCAAAAAGAATTACTGTCGAGATATTTGTTATTGATGGAGTTACTGTTGACAACGAAGGTAATGATGATGATGATGATGATGATGATGATATGATAATGATATTACATTGCAAATTCGTTTTGTAAAGTAACGTTGTGCAATTTTTTTTAAACAACTTAAAGGTACTATGTCCCATTTGCAGGCCCAAAAATGAAAAAGTTAAATTCCAACTGCATTTGAAATTTGAAATTTGAAATTTATTTCATTTCCAGGTACATGTATAAACAAAATAGAAATGACAACACAGAGCATATAACATTAAGAGTTACAAGACAGTTAAAAAGCCACCAGCGGACGCCTGAGGATTACCTAAAAGAATTTCCATTCTGTCAAGAGGTTCTCCACATCCACTGGTGTTACATATAAATAGATTTAAGAAGTAACGGTAAAATAACATAACATAATTCAAGTTTATCCATCAAGCATAATAACTAATAGAATGATTGCATGTATGTTGAACTTTGTGGCATGAAGAAAATAACAATCATGTACGGCATGTAACTGTAAAATAAAATAACATAATTCAAGTTCATTCATCAAGCATAATAACTAACAGAAGGATTGCATGTATGTTGAACTTTGTGGCATGAAGAAAATAACAATCATGTACGGCATGTAACGGTAAAATAAAATAACATAATTCAAGTTCATTCATCAAGCATAATAACTTATAGAATGACAATAATAATAACAAGAACAATAATGAGAAAATAACTGAAAATATCTGAATATTAAAGATAATACTAATTTAGAACTTCCTTAAAAAGGGTGGGGCTTGAAAATGTCTTCAAGTGGGTAACGACTATTAGTTGTCAAGTCGATTTTTGGGCTATAGAGCCCAAAAGTAATAGTTTTAATTTTTAGACAATTGTACCGAATGGTCATACATTTTATGCTGCGCAAAGATTCAATCAGTTTAATCTTGGCCTTCACAAGAAGTGGGTTATTGATGTAAACAAATGTTCATGTACCCTCTACAACTCTTTTCATGTATGTTATTACCAAACAAGAAAAAAAGCCAGTCAGTCACTCAATAGTGTCTGACAGTGAAGTCTAGCA